AGTCAGTGCACTGAGTCTTCTTGGAAGGGGGAGAGCGTGAGAAGGTGAGAGCAGTCATAGAGGTCAGAGAACAGCACCATCCTACAGACACCGCCCAGCAGTATTACAGCCTTCCCTGCATGAACCCAGTGCCACCCGCAGGGCACCCTCCTTCCTGGGATGGGTATGTGCATCCCCCTACATGGCCTAGTGGCAGGCATTGCAGTCCACGCCCACTGCTCACCACGTGGCCCCGAGTCTCCCTTCGGTCCAGGTTCTCCAGCAGAGCCATTGTCCCCTTTGGGCCCAACTGAGCCAGCAGTTCCAGGCATCCCCATTGGCCCTCTAGCTCCTGGTGAACCTGCAGCAGCAGAAGAAATGGACATAAACCTGGCCCTGGGCCTAGGAGGAGCAGCACCTGCAGGTCAGCCCTGCATTCCTTCAGGTTCCGCAGGTGTAGACATTCCACCTCCACACTCCTCAGTCCAGCGGTGACCCAGGAGACGGGTGTGCACATCCCCATTTCACAGGCGAGAAAACAGGGCTGCCAGAGCTGGAGGGGGTCATGCCAAGAACTGTCTGATTTCCATGCAGTGCACCCTCCCTGCCCCGAGGCTGCAGGATTACAGCAGGGGAACTACCAGCTTTTACCCGGGATCATGGACTCCTTGCTTTCCCCTTCCTAGGACCAAACTTTATATCAGAAATGATCCCTGACATGAGTCAACCTGGAAATGCAAATAAACCCACGAGATATCATCTCACCCCTCCTAGAATGGCAACTATAAAAAACACAAAAGCTCACAAGTGTTGGTGAGGATGAGGAGAAGAAGAACCCTGTGCACTGTTAGTGGGATTGGAGGGAGGACCCCCGGGTTTGTCTGGCCCATTTCATCCAGTCCCTGATTGGCTGAACCCCAGCAGCAAGCTAACCTACGGGTCAGATCCTGTGGCCCCTGGTGATCAGGGGACGTCATAGCAACCGGTTGAGCAGTGGATCATTCGGTTGACGGCTTGGTGGGACACTTAGCATATGAGGCTTTTATATTTATACTAGAGTCCTGGTGCACATATTAGGCTTTTATATATATACTAGAGGCCTAGTGGAAGGGGTTTCCCTCAGCCCCGCCTGCACCCTCTCGCAACCCAGGACCCCTCAGGTAGGGTCCCAGGCCTGGCCTGTGATCAGGGCCTATTGGGGCTTTGCTTCCCCAGGCTGCCGGCAGCTAGCCCTGTCCCCACCGCTGCCACTGCTTGCCATCTGTGCAGCACTTCCCCCTGTCCCCCGCCACTGGTCACCTCCCTCTGCAGGTGACAGGTGTGGGGTACAATCGCTTGGCTGACCTGGGCCTCCCTCTGCAGGCGATCGCTGGCCCGCCCCACACACCTGCTCAAGAGTCACTGGCCGGTGGCCTGGGCATTCCTCTGCAGGGTGATCGTGGGGCGATGCCAGGGGCCCCTGACCAATTGCATCGCGCCCCCCTTGGCTGGCCTGGCACCAGTGCGTGTCATAGCATGGTCATCTGGAAGGTTGTCCAGATGGCTGTTCTGCTATTCGGTCATTTGGTCGATTTGCATATTATGCTTTTATTATTATAGATAGATTACATCTCCATAAAAAATAGAAAAAGCTTTGTCACATGCTCTGGAACCTATAGAAAACAGACCAAATTATTATCTAATGCATCATTAAGGGGGAAAAGGATGTTGTAAATACTATATTGAATATGGTTCTGTTTCATAAGCATGTACAAACATTGTAGGGTGTGTGCACATGTCATACTTATTGAAAAAACCACAGGAAAGTCATATACACAATGTTAAGTTGTTGTTTTTTCTAAGTGTCACAAAGGTAATTTTAACTTTCTTCTTTTTTTGTTTATCTTTAGTGACCACATAGTATTTTTCTATTGGAAAAATAGTCAAACTTTTTAAAAAACCTGTAACCTGAAGAAAGGCTGCCTAAGTCTTAAGTTTTACAAGATTTACCCAAAAAGAAAGGAAGCAGCTTTAGACAGTTTTTCTCAGTGGTTTGAGCATCAGCTCACGGACTGAAGGGTCCTGGGTTTGATTCTGGTCTAAGGCATGTACCTCGGTTGCAGGTTCCTTCCAACCAATCAAAGTTTCTCACTCACATCAAATGTTCCTGTCACTTTGACACTCCCCCCTCCTTTTTCCCTCTCTCTTAAAATCATTTGGAAAAAACATCCTAGGATCGTGGTTTCCTCTAATAATGATACTAAAGGG